CAGTAACCATTTTTATCGTGAACCGTGCCTTCAATCTGCTTAGCATCAGAATAACGGCAGTCCACTCATGTTTTGCCCGCCTACCTTATATCTTCGTGGCGGTTATGCTCAGTCGCTCTCAAATCTTGAGCTGCTCGACAAGCCTATCGTATTCGCGTCTGACTGGTTTCCGACTCATTTAATTATCATTGCCTTACTGTATCGTGGCCACACCGTAGCTCAGCTCATTCCCTCCATCTCGAACGAGTGTTTCTGGTTGTTGCCATGTTTGTGTATTCGTTGATGTTGCCTTCTTTATACGTAGTCTCAACCAGCATGATCCAACCTACGGCACTCGAACGTTTACCTCTGCACAAGAAGAGCTTTTGCTTTCTCGTTTTTAGAGCTTTAAAACAGTGTTTCATGCTTTACAGTATACTGCATTATATTACAGCTCTTTTGCTTGTTTTCTATAGGGCAAAGTGACAGCGTACTAAGTAACGCTTAGTACTACCAAGTAACCTGTACAAAAAATAACCATATAATGAATCCAATCAGCTAATGGAGCGTTCGATACTAGCCTTACACTTACAAGTAATTTATCTGGTATAATAATTCTGATAATTATGACAATAATAGAAATGGTATAACCTGTAGTCCGCAAAATACCCCTGCTCCGGAAGTTACTGCATGCTTGCAGAGTCGATTCATTTCTACTGCTATGGCAGTAAGCTTGCTTTCTACGTTCCTACTTTCTTTTGCTTGATTTCTAAGTGCTAGGTATCCCTCAGTTTTCGCGGAGAAAACACAAAGTATGAGCAAGACATTTAGTAGATCTCATTAATTATTGGGAAGGAATTCTCCGAGAAAAGTCAAAGTTGTTATTTTATTGAGTCATAGGCAAACGATATAATACAACCCTAACAAGGCCACCCAGTCCTTGAAGACTACTCCTTTAGAAATGTCACTGTCCTCTAGAAAGTGTGTGCGAGCATGTTTTGTGTGTTTACAGCCTTCTTCTTCATCTTCCTCTTTGTCCTTCGCCCGGCTATGAAGCTGGATCCTCTTTTCTGGTATATTCATCCCACCTATCCCTATTGAATGCTCGGAGTGGAATGAAAACAACTAATTTTGAATGCTCTTGCTAAGTATCAAGAAAGAGCTACTCTGAATTAACTAAGGCCGTTTTCCAGCGAGGCTTTTATTCCAGAGTGGTAAACTGGGTTGCCTCCTTTCTTCATGACCGCAACTTCAAGGTTGGAGTCAACAACGTCCTAATCCGGGTCATTCATAGCCCTCAGTGGAGTGTGTCAGGGAGGTGTCCTAGGCCCATTACCCCAGTGCTATTTCACGACATGGTGTTTCCTGCCTGATGTACGTCGATGATGTTAAGATATATAGCATAGTTGAGAATACGTCGCATCAAGGGAAAACTTGATCTACTGAGTGGCGACTGCCGCTGTCTCATGATAGAGCCAAAGTCTTTTGCATAAATTGTAAGGATACAGTTATGTAATATAGACTTGGTTCCCAGAAGCTGCAACAAGTCACGGATGTTCGTAATAGAATCCGATTCGTTGTATTCGAGCAGAGCAAGCACACCCACTCAGGAGGCTCTCCAAAAACCCAGCATTGCTGTAAGGTATACCATATAATTTCATGCAACACGCGATCGAAAATCTTTTCAGAGTCGAAAAAGTGCTAGATGCAATGCTTTTCACATTTATCGATGTTACGCTTGCTTGTCAATTATCGGTCGGCTTTGTGTCTCCTAGCTCAGAGAAACCAACTGAGGTTTCTGCTTCAATAGCACCTTTTCAAGCTCCCTTAACAATCGTGACGGTAGACGGTGTCTAGTATTCGAGCAATCAAAGCCATCTCCTTCTCCTTCAATTGTTACCATTTGGTCATGTGCTGTTTTAATGGAGTGCTTATAGGCGTGCAGATAAGTAATTGATGTGTATGGCAAACTCTTTCTACAGCAGGCTATGGGCCCTTGATCGCGGCACCTTACGCTGCTGGTGTTCTGGTTTTGTCGCTGAAGAAGATGATGAAATGGGAGTCACATTCCCGAGCTTTTATGTTTATGATAGGAGGTGTACGAATCAGCGTGTTCAAGGATTTCATTATCATAAGCGTTACGCGACCATATCCAAACTCACAACAGCAACTTTAATCGTCTTTCTCAGCAACAACGTGCCTTTTGAGGCTGCATGCGACAAAGCTTCCTGCGGTGACATTTCAGTTCCTCTTCATAGAGCAAGGATCAGAGCTCTCCTTTCATCCAACGACGACGAATCCCATTCCTTCGTAGCGTTAGACGCTCACAATCAAGTCTCGAAAACGCTCGTGTACATTAACCCTGGCACCGCTGGCGGTCCTGGGGCTACCGAAAAGATTAATCCTGAAACCACTTCGTCCCTTAACTTGCAACAGGACCATTTCGTCCCGTGCACGACCCAAAAATTGATTTGCCTTCCCTCCAATGCATCTACTAGCCCGCAGGAACGACCTGTCAAAGTGCCGACAATTAGAATTGCAGCGCGAGTCTACGATACCTTCCTAGACTTCTGGCCTAGCATAGTTGCACGTCAATACCATTTCCGAAGATCCTTGTACCATTTCACGCGAATGTAAGATACGATGAGCACTAGGCTCTTCTGAGACTGACTCCTAACCAAAAGCGCCTCTCCATCTGTAAATGTCAGATTTCGGGTAACTCAGCTGTTTTTTTTGTCTGTATGAACACAATGTTTGACCTTTCAGTGTCTTATCGATATGTATTTTTTCCCACTTGTGTCTTTTGCACATGTACTAAACAAAAAAAGAAAAATAAAAATTAAGTAAAAAAATTTTTGAAATAATTTTTTTAAAATAAACCTAAACCTAAATCTGGAATGCTCTTGCGAACGCCGTAGCTTCAAGTAATACATCAGATGCCATTAACGATCATTAACCTAAAGAAAGAGAGAAAATTTTCGAATTTCGAATTTAAAGCAATGGTTTCCTGAGCTTAAGCAAAATCGTCGATTTAGTCGGTACTTTGAATGGAGTTTGCTCACTTTTCGGAGCTTTTCAAGGATAATTCTAATGAATGCTTAGCGTAAACAGATTTCGAGCTGAATGCCAGTTCCGTTTCGTGAGTATCGGCACTGAGGTGAAACACTGCAAATGCGTAGTATACGTCTAACTTATATGAGATTACGCCCATAAGTATCATGTCAATGCCGAGTACACGCACCTATAAAAAATGATTTACAGTTTCTCTCTATCTAGGGAAAAACCTGAGATCACTGACTTTGCATTCACCTATGCATGGTAATTAGTTGTGGTAATATATTGCGTCTAATACATATGTCACTTAAGTACGTAGCCAGGTTTTCTTCCAGTAAGTCTGACAGATGGGAAAAAGGCATCGTTCATGTCGCTGTGACCTGCGATGCTACAGTTCAGTGATTATTTGCATTTTCTTCGAACTTGTGAAGCGAATACAATTAATGATTGCCCATTATTTCCAGTGACTGATTTCCTTTTGCCGACTTCCTTTCCACCTCATTTCGATTCCATTAGTTTATATGAAGAGGGTATGACACCCCCATTTTCGCAAAGAACCTCCTCCGCCATAGAACTACAATATATCATTTTGACACTTTTACCCAGTGACGAAAGTGCTTTCTCTTCACTTCCTCAAATCCGCTTGGCTTCCTGTCTCATGCAGCTGAAACAGTGTTAGGTCGGCTTCAAATCTACAGATCTAGAATCAACCAAATGATGACTCAGTCCTCCTTAGCAAAAAATCTTTATATAGGCATGAAGATTTTAACAAAATAGAAGTTCTGGGTGGAACTACAGTAATGCCACAGACGGAGGCATTCCCAAATGACCCTGGGCAGGCCGTGATGGAAGTGGGAAGTCCTGATAGCATCCGGATCTGAGTTTTTATCAAAAAAAAGTAAAATCGCTACTTTGCCACTCCCTTCCCTTGAATAGCATACTGTAACATTGGAATGTTGGCACTGGACAAGAACGAAAACGTTGGTCAAGTGTGGGCAGCATCCTTTACGCGGGGGTATTCTCATGGATGTTCCAAACGAAAATGATAATGAAACTGTGGCGTTCAAATTCATAAAAATTCATTTATTGTGAATGGAGAAGGCACCGTAATCGGTGGAACTTTTGCTTGAAGCAGGTGAAAATCAATTCCACCGGTCCACAGTTTTGTCCCACACCTATGGCCACTAACACTATGGCCACTAACATCGTTGCTTGATGGGTCTTCTCTATAAATAACACCGCACATAATAAGAATAACCTGTTTGTCGGTTCATATTTATTGCTTTTATGAATCCATTGTATGGTGCGATTTCTGTTTTCAGAGTTCTTTAGTTTTTACTCGTTTTGTTGCAGGGTCGTCTTGAACATTTCCTTAAAAAACGAAACGAAGTATGGACCACCACGACACTATCTTTAAAGAGTTGACGACACCAGCAGATACATGTCCTACATTGACGTTTTCTACACAGCTTCGAACAGTATTGGCCATCGAAACGATTTCCATCTGTCTTCTCTCCGGTATCGCCCAGATTCCGATGATTTTGGTCAGTTAAAACCATAGGCGCTTGAATTTTCCCACATAGAGCACTATTATAGGCGACAAAAAAATTCGCCGGCTGGAATTCCGACTTCTCATTCACTATACTGATGATAATGTCTGTTGTTGCATTACAGCTTTATATTGGTGAATTTATTGCCCATATACGGTTCGCTATGGATCTGAAGACCAGCTTTATTGATAAGGTAATGAGAAGTTCACTAATAATGCATGGCGGAGTGGGGAAACTGGGACGAAATTGTCGCTTTGCGGCGAGAGAGACGCCGCGCGCGAAGGCATGTAGCAAGATCTAGCAGCAAGTAAGAAATACAAAAACAAAAGAACTGCCAGTAGAGTCATGCCTCAAGTAATAACCACACAACAATTGAGCTGAACGATAAACGCTAGAACTGTTATAACGGGGCAAATGGCCAGCGACAGCGACATGCGGCGGATTGACTACGCAAAACCGTTCCTACTGCCCGTCTCCCCTGTACATCTGACAGCGCGGGCTAGTGGGAGTTCAAGTCAGTGAACCTTGCACCGAAAGGGTATGTTGCTCTCAAATAGAGGAGATGAAAGTGTTACTGCCATTGAAAGAGGCGTCGATGTGATCGCATGTAGTGAAGCGATAAGGTAGAGAAGCTAAGAAAAGCCTAAAGGTACAGTTCACGATGAAACTGTTTTCCTAATTTTGCCCTCAGGATCATCCAGTGGCCGCCAAGGGTAACGGAAACTACGCTGTCGGGCCCCAAAACTCAAGAGTTTAGGCATAACAGGAGCCTCTTTACCGAATCGGTCGAATGCCAAAGCCGTCGGCCGATGTTATGTGAGAAGGGTGTAGAGACGATACAGATTGCAATATTCGCACCAGGACTCACCCTTCAGCATACGATCAGCTGATTACCGAGTGGTGAGAAGATGTTCTTCTCCGATTCTATTGTTCTTTGCTGTTCTCCTGCTGCTGCAGCATTCTGCAGATTATCTGCATGTTCAACTGCACCAAAGGCAGAGGAAGAATAAAAGACGAAATTCGATTCTTCAGCGGCAGTTTAGTCAGTCGTACGATTTTCCATGTCTGAAACTCTTTCAGTCCTCGTTACACTACTTTCCTGCCCATTGTTTTTCTTTTAATACGCCGATTCTCAAGCTCTTCTTAACGATCACTTTCATTATCCGTCGAAAACCGGATACCCAAAAGCTATCGTGAACAGTGCTTTCGATAATGTAAGCATAGCTAATGGCACGCCAGAAGACTACAAGAAAAACATTGTTAAACGATGGCTAAAGGCTGGTGTCTCATGCAAAAGTAAAAGAATGAAAGAAAGCTCCTAACGTTATTCAGCGATTTCAGCGACAAAACCTCTATAGACACAGTTGACGACATGCATTTCTTTTTAACAAACCTTGAGAGTTTACAGTACGGGAGGGAGAGGTTCATAGGCTTGTCATCAGTTCGTGAGAAATTCATTGTAGAGGGGTCGTCGACGATAGTGATAGTGAGGAAAACGTTAAAAGCAGTGACGCAGTGCTGGTGGTAGTATTACATATGGTGTGGTAGAAAGGGTAATACCCATGACATTACTATTATATGTGGTATGGTGGACAAGATATGAGAGTGACGTTAGGAATGGTTAGAGGCGTGAAGTTTAAGAGATAAAGCTTTGAAGATGCAAAGGCAGTGCAATCATACGTTGAACTAGTTGTTCAACTTTATGCTCAAACTTTTATGAGAACGTTGATTGAACGTTGTGTCTTCACCATTCTCAATGTTGGGGTTTTTTTTCAGCGGGGCAAATTTCATTCTTACTCATTCTTACAGATCTTGGGTGCATTTTTCGTGACGTCATTTTTTACATACGTGATCCTGGACGGGACACTGATTCTTCATCGGGTCGCCTATACATTCTATCCATACTCTGCTGGTCGAGTGCTGTCGAAGACTGTTTTGGAGGTAATTTTCAATGAAATATTTATTGTTGACTCTGCTTCATTCATTCTTTGATGCTACATACTTAATTTTAAACATCAGCCCGGACGGTTGGAAAATGGAAAAAAAATCGCTATGTCTTCTTAGTAGTATCGGCATTGGCCACGGATCTTACCAGGAAACGAACCCAAGTCGAAGAGGTCATTTGGAATGAAATCTAAACTGCTAGACGTATTTTCGGATGCTGATCTCGAATCTACTTTCCAATTTTGCTAAGCGATCGCTGAATGGAGTTATGAGGTGATTCTAGGGAGGCCTAACATAAGCGAACTGAAATTACGGGATGAGACAAGCCTATGAGCCCTTGGTTGGAGTAGTGGTGAGGGTGACGCTTCATAATCGTGAGAGTACGGTTCGGGTTTGAAGGGGGCGAGAATTTGGCATTATATTGAATTTTTTCTATTGAGGCTATGGATTCTTTTGATGTTGACTTTTCCGTGTTCAACTTCCGACTTTTTGATAGTTGTAGCGACAACCTTCTTAACAAACCATGCAATATCGCTTCGATTTTTTTGCATGTAGGCGAAAGCAGAATTGTGTAGGCGTGTCTAAATAGCAGTGGTGAGTGCTTAAGTAGCAGGCGACATGTTGATAAGAGATAAAGTCTTCAATCTAACAGCACAGAACTGAAAGTAGGCAGGTGGTAGTAAGCCAAGTCCTGATTGAAGAAGCAAAAGTTTACATTGAGAGCGATTGTGTGTGGTGATGATCATATTTTCGAACGGCCAAGAAGTGAGCTGCGATTGGCTATACTAACTCCGAAGTCGAAGTTAATGTTCTGTTCCCTCGAAAGCACCTCTAACACTAGCACACCCTTGCCATACAAGCAAAACCGATAGCGTGCTACTTTTCGAAAAGATCCCATTTTGAGCAGGTTCAGCCGGTAGTAACCGAGGTCGCTCAGTAGTAATATGATTATTGCAGATAATCCATTTCTTGATACAACTACAATACGCGCCTTATCGTGCTCAAAGGGCAAACCGCAGATGCAAACTCGCTGTGTCATCTGAATCTCCCTGAATTCATGCGACACCTGAACATCTTCTCTTTTAATGGCCCGAGCTTTTGATATTCCATGTGTTCCAATAGATGTGTTGGTCTTCTCTGTCAGTTCCTACAGTGCATGAAAGTCCACTCCAGACAATGACATAAGATGTTCATCATCACTGAGTGAAAATACGGATTCAGAGTGTGGCGCAATATTTTGCTCTACACTCTATATTCAATTTATCACTTTGTGTTGCCAGTAAACCAATACGATTACAGTTCATGTATATAAAGGATAAAGTTTTTGGCGTCAATCAATCCCGTTTGAGGGATTCGCCTCCGCACTCGACTTCCATTAAAAAATGTAGTGGCGTAGTGGCCTATACAATGACTTGCGGTGGCTAGCCGATGTACAAGTCAGTGCATTTATCCTCCCAGACGCGAGCCTGGTACCAATTAACCGACCCCGGAGGGATGGAAGGCTCTGTCGCTCAGGCGGATATCGATCCGGGACTCGGACCCCTGGTCATGCGTGTGAGATGGTGCGCCATTTGCCACTACACCACCTCTGTCCAGTTTATGTAAACGTTTCTTGAAGGCACCTAAACAAAAAAGTCCATAATGCATGCTCTATTTCCAAATGATACGATGTAAGCAGACGCGGCTCGACTGACGACATTTTTTCACATCATTCTGGGAGAATGTCCCACGGGAATGAGAGCCTTTCTACCGGCGCGAATCTTAACATGATTTCGTTCTTATCGTGATTGTTAGAACTGCTACAGTAGGCCTGTGAGAAATTTTGGAACATAAAGAATAGAATTTAGAATAGCGAGCGATCTAATCCAATACTTCACAAGCTGCCATCTCACTTGTTTTAAAAGGGAAAAGAGTTTCCTTAATCTCAATTCTAGCCGAATTTAGATTTATCTGGGTCTCGTTGGAGCACTGCACATCACAATTATCGCGCTGACGATCAGTCCACTATGTGGATATCAATTCTGTCCGCAGACTATGAAACGCTTCTTTACACATGGACCACTGTCACCTTTTCTTGTGTGGTGAGTTTACAGAAAGAGTCTAAAAATACGCTGCATTAGCATAGCAGTTCGATTGTGGTCCACTTTTTCCTTCACAACTGCCACGTGTATTTTCGACCTCTTCGATTTTCCTCTCTGCAATCAATACTCTGTTTCGGAGTGATCATTTTTTCTTCTTCATTTAGAACAATGGCTCATTTTTTTGCAAATTCTATGTTTTAGGATGAACAGGGTATGCAATCACGTGTTTGGCTTAACTGGACTTTTTGCATACGTTGCAATATGCGTGTATCTTTTCGCTCGAGGAACTCTAAGATTTGGTAACAATTCCGAAATTCGCCTCACTCTACAGGTTGGTTTTTTACAAATTTTTGAGCTCCCTATCAGGATCATGCCACAAAGCATGGGCTATATCTCAGGCAACTGGCACTCAGACTCGGCACATGGGCTCCCTAGATACTAGCTCTGCGCACTTTGTAGGATAGACGGACGTATCGCAGGGAGACTGAGCGCTTTTACCCATGTTCCTCAACTAGGTTTTCCAGCTGTAGGAACTAAAAATTCCGAAAAAAAATTGGGACTTTTGCTTCACGATATATCGTCCAATTTCAAATTAAGGCGAACTCGAAAAGTCGTCAAACAGCAGTCTAGCTTTTCCAGATGAGCTGCTCACCATTTGGCTCCTTCCTTGTAGGCGTCCATCAGTTTAATTTCTGTTGCTCTCCTCTTATGGTTGGCAGCCCCCAAAAAGAGTTGGTTACAAGAGAGCTTTCAGTGGATAGCGAAGGAGAGATGTCTGCAGACGCTGAGTTGACACTACATCACTTCTTGGACTGAGATAAGTCGTTTCTCCTTCACGAGCTTACGATCTCATGCTTGTCCGATTCTGCGGTCCTGCTCTAGACACTGGCTGTGAACGCGCTTCGTTTCAAAAAGAGCGCTGAGCGCTGGAGTTCTGTTGACACCGCCGGTCGTTGATCAATACCGACTGTGCCGGTGTGAATATTCCTTTATTATATTGGGTATTTCGAGAATTTTCCAATTTGTTGGGTGAGCGAGAAAAAGATCATCTAAGAGTATAGACGAAAAAGAACAATCGGATTCTATTCAACTCCCTTTCATACGGCAGTGATATGATTGGAGGGATTTTGACGTCCCGTTAACATGTGGCACCATAACCCCCTTTACCAGACACCCACTCCCNTTGCTTTGCGTCGTATATGTGACGGGTGTTGGAGGTGTTCGGGTACTGTGCCACACATTCACGGGACATCAAATCCGTCTTAGACTAGGATGGGTTATAGAGGGACCTCAACGTTGCTGATATGCCTGAAAGAAAGGAGCATGAGCTAGTTGTAAATTTGTGGCATGGCTCACATTGTTTCTTTATAGTTAGTCAGCAGCGCAAAAGTGAATCACACCAAGCGAGGAATTCACATAGTCCCTGCTTCAATTTGCAGTCCATCTACAAACATTCAGTGTTACAACGAAGACTCATTTGCCGTTCTTACCGTCATTGGCCACAGTTACCCCTTACCCATGGGGAAAGCCTGTTTTAGTGTGACCGCCTCTCAAACTAACAACAGCATCGTATCGAAGTAGCTTCTCATGCATATTATGAAATTCGCAACAGCAGCGTATCGAAGCAGCTTCTTCAGCATATTATGGAATACCACAAAATTTCTTTTTCAGGTTATTGTAATGTCTACAATTGGCATGTTTTACTTCTCCTACTTTGAATTCCATGAAATGTTGAAGATTCCTCAACCGGCTGCGACTATAATCTATGAAACTGTGGTTCTTCTGTACTACAATTCCGAATTTGCGCCGTACCTACTTCTGAACAAGTCAGTTCTGTTCCTTCTTTTACGCGCTTTTCTTGGGGTCATGCTCTCATTATGTCCAAAATGAGTGTCCCAGTCAGTGACTGCCCGTGTCATTCTCGAAGCGGGTACTACGTATTCCAGCAAGGTGCTGGATGCGTGGTCTAAGCAGGTCTAAACACTACGGGCGAAGCGAATAGATGCAACAAATTTTCCTGTTGCTCTTCGATTTTACCCAGTACAAACATAAATTCTCCGATAAATTTCAGTTATCATAGGGAACGTTTGAGCAGAAAATGAACAGAGCTTTCCAGGTCGTTCCGACACGAGTACTTTACTTGTCGATCGAGGCATAGAAGGATAGCTACCGTATTTACTGTTCGATCACCAAAATTGAAGCTTTCAAATGTTCAAGAAAAATCAGTGCTATGGCGAAAGCGGCATTGATATGGATGCTTGGTTTTGACATCGATCTCTCAACTTACTTTTCACCAGAATATTATGAGCCCGACTTCGTATTTCAATCACAAGCGCATCTCCTCATACTTCGGCGATCTATGAATGAGAGTTGTTAAAAAACAGCCAAAAGGTACAGTCCACGTCGAAAACTGTTCTAGAGCAATCTTGTTGGAACGAATCGTTTTCTTGCAAGGCTACTATATGAGGCGTTGTTTCGTCACAAAGCGGTCGGTGTAGGTTCCGGTAAGGGCGCAACAACCGACAGCTTATGTGAGATGCACCGCTTCATCTGTAGAACAATTCCATTGTTGAAGATGAATAGCGTTCCTCAAAATCATCTTGTTCTGTGCCTTCGAGATCCTTTTTTCAGTAAGAGTCAGTATACAACGATGCCATATCGAACTGGATAGCTGAACAAACTAGGACGTTTTTAGTTTGATACACTGGAGGATCTTATCAAGATGTACGTTGTAAGGTGTTAAACAGGTATGTACAGTGTGTGTTGCTGAAATATGCATAATATATCCGATCCTATTGAATTTGTTGATCTGCGTGCAAATGTTCCTCACGTTACTGTCATTATGTGATAAAGATTATCCACTCATTTGGTTTAGAAGCATGTTATGTCGTACAACTTCGGTTCCAATTCTCTAGATCCAATTACTCCAAATCCTTTGATGAGTCACAACTGCTGTCTAATCCTTCAGGACCTCACAGCTTTTGTCAAAAGTTGGAAGACTATAGGAAGTGGGAATGCCTAACTTGCTGACTTTCACTCGTGAATACCTTTAAATCGAGTCGTCCCGAAGCGCTCAAAGAAGGATTTCCATCGAAGCGTTGATATTGCAGAAGAGACAGAAGCTGTGAACGAGATGGGCGAGCGACTTCCATTCCTGACCTTCGCAAGAAAAAATTATTCTTGAATATTAAACGCTCCCTTCATTTTTTGTGGGATGTAGTGAGGCAGTCACAGCACACGGAAGCACTACATATCAGTTTGAGGCTCGAGACGCTGGGCCCAGACTCGCCACGACTGCCTCCCTTCTCGCTAATAAACATCAAATAGCTGGGGCTGTGACCCAAACAAGCTGGATAGGGCTACATCATCCGGTGAGCATCTGCTAAGTTTGCTATCTGAAAAGCATCGTTTTGACTAAATCTAGTCACAAGGTCGTTGCTGGCGACAAGTAGTTTCTAATCCGAATAAGCCATAAAGGACAGTGTCAGTGGGTAGATCAGATTAGCAGGAGATGTCCGCTTTTACTGGAGAAACGTTCTTCTTCGGTTCTGGCAAGCCTGCGTGCCTTAGTCACTACAACTTCATGTGGAATAATGCTCCCCAAAAGTGAATGGTCACTGGTCACTGCGACAACCTCAATGTTTCTGAAGTAAGAAAGGTTTTAGACAGGCCCAGCCATACACAAAAAGAGACCACTCTGTTGACGGACTTCTCTTGGAGCGCTGCGACGTCTCGATCGATCGGCCGGGCTTATATACATATTACTATTCTTAATGGTAGTAGTCCAGCGTCTGATGGAGAATCTTGACAAATGAGTACTGCTAGCTCACCTTGTTGCTGGAAGCTCGCCTTTTTAATGTCTATGGGGCCTCTTCAGCATGTTTTTATAACGACATTGAATAAAAATGTAGTCAATATCAAACGACTTTTCACTACCAAAGTGCAATATCACCAGTTACATGAATGGCCTCTTGGTGGCTCTTTCTCGCAGCCGCGGTTATAAGTAGGGTCTACTGCAATGGCTGCTTTCATAGTCCGCCGGCCGGCCGGCGGGCCGGCGTGCCGGCGTGCCCGCGGAGGCAGTGCCGGCGGACTATGAAAGCAGCCAACCAGTAACGAACTTTGCGGGAAAGCTCCATCTTCAATCTTGCAGGCTTTACGATGTTGTCACAGAGGGCCAGTGACATAGAGGGTCAGTGCGTAGAGGGTCAGTGTATGAGAGGATAATAGAGGGTCAGTGTCGTAGAGGGACAGGTCCTCGTCGTGCGTGGTGACTTTACCTGCCTTCTCCGCACTACCGCTCTATGCCGCCAACGACGGCGTCCGCTGAAATGATGCCATCGTGGCTCAAACCCATCCTGGAGAGATGGGATGTCTATTTCGAAAAGTTTGACAAGATCTTCGAGCTCTTTTCAAAGATGCATGAGACGCAAAACGTCATCCATAGTGAACTTGACTCTCTGGAGCGCAAATTCGATGTGGGTAATCACAGTGAAAACTCTAGATCAGCGCTTTACAGCACTTTTGTCGAGTTTAAGTCTGATACTAAAATCGTAGATGAAAAAGCATGTGGAATTACGTGGGTCGGCATCGGCGAACACGCCAGCGAAACGACCACCCGTGAGATCACCTGTGAAAAAGGCATTGGTTGATATTGTTTATATCCCGTAAAGCTCGTAAGGATGACTACTTGTATTAGAGCAGGAGCACAGGATGACCTTCACTCACACTTAGAGCTTAGCCAGCCCCCATCAAATTATAAGTAGGGTCAGAGAATAGCATGATAAGCGCAGGTGAACAATTATAAAAGGTTCAAAAACGGTGGCCCAGCTATGAAGGACTCAGTGATGGAGGAAGCAGAACTGAATGAACTGAATGTTTCCATCATTCTCAAGGTGCCCCTCCCCTCACTTGGACGGGAAATTTCTGTCGAATTGAAGAGAATGCGATGAATTCGAGCATTACTCAAGCTCAAATCTCAACAAAGGCAGTGTTGTGTGCTGTTGCACAACTCCCATACCGTGCCTCTACAGTTACTGGTAATCTATCAAAAAGCTTTGATAAAAATGAGAGTGAAACAAAAGCAAATTGATGAGTTTCACCAAAACAGTCTATAGGTCACGTTCTCGATGCATTCGTTGATTCCCTTCCGGGACAAACATAAGACAGAGGACAAACACGGAAAAGGATTAAGGTTGACTCCGCTGGGGCAGGAATAAATCGCAATGTGATAACCATGAAGGTGGACTCATTAAATAGGGAAAACACCGAGGAGATTACCAGCCGGTTAAGTGTGATAGACTCAAATCACTTTCCCAACAAAAGGATAGGGCCGCTGATAAGCTGTTATAGGCTGTGTGATAAGCTGAGTTACCCAGCTGGAAAGAGAAGGAGAAAATCACTCTTCCCACTAGAAATGGATAGAGAATGAATAACCCCCTCAACTGCGCGCTCAACCTCAAGAACCCACATGAAAGATTTAGTAAAAGAAGAGCAGATTTGGGTACATTACTTCTACCGAAGTCAAAAGAGCAAATACGTGATAGTTGATCTTTTCCTCTTAAGAAGATTAGGTTGTATCTTACCCATAAATTTTATATTAAACTGGAGGGAGAGAATGAAGAAAAAAAGCTTCTAAGAGAGCGAAAACGAATGCGAAGCAAGATATAATCGCCAAATCTCAGTGCTTCTCTTCAGGCCTCATAAAAACAATTGAATTCGAAATTCAAACAAAATCCTAACTTTCTACAAAGTTGTCCTAGGGCGGCGAACAAAAACTTCGAAAAAATCATCTTGAAACAATGGAAATACATGAAAATAAGACGACGGTCTTCATATCCATAGTCTGCTTCACAGTTGATTTCATCAAATCTCCACAGTCATGCATCGCTCGAGGTCCAGACCCTCAATTCCGCTGTCCATAGAGAGAGCTCGCAGCTGGTTGAAGAACCTAACAACAGTGACCATGGCAAGATTATGAAGATGCCAAGAATATGCGGTCAAGTGAGCTTTTACCACCATTATTTCAGGAAAGACCTCTTTGCTGACGTCTCACAGCTCATCGCTTATATCCGCAGAGACATGCCCCGCCAAGATTGTATTAGAAGTACCGCAGTGATTGCACGAGATCAGCATGTGCGAAGTATCGTATTCAGTCCTCTTTGCTTGCAGTTGGAGAAATCCACATCACCTCCCGTCAAACGTGCTGCTCCTGCGAAAACGATCAATACATGAATTGATCGCTCCAAATGGCATGAAGATGACTGCCATCTTCTATGATGCCGGTTGCCCTCTAGACTTTGGGGAATTCACCTTTCCGAAGTGGTGGCTTCGAAGGCACATCCTTCGCGAACTCCGCTGCTATTGTGCCGCCCGGCAAACTGGAAAAGAGTTGCCTGAGAGGAAAACCTCCGGTACGCCAAGACACACCGGCTTATGGACTTCGATAAGTCGAGTCCATCGGCAGGAAACAGTGCGTAGGGATTCAATGTGGATGGGTCAAACTCTTCAGAAGGTACAAGGCCTTCTGTCCTACAAGGGAAAACTTAGGGTGGGACAAGTGGCTGATAGGAATGGACGCTCAATACCTTTATAAAAAACAACACTCCCCCACCCCATAGCATTGCGCGCAATCCTTGGTCATTATTCTCTAATCCAGATGGCAGGATACTCTTCTTTCGATGAGAGGCATCATCTGAAAAATAAGAACGAGTTTATTTTACAGACTTGGGTAAAGTAACAATTCAGATGTCACACCTTTTCCTTAGGCCGAACCGCCGATGAAGGGGATTTACCCGCCGCCAATCGATGGCCCAATGTTAGTCCCCCTTGTCAACCATGCTGCTTTCTGGGTAGGATTTGCAGTAGCAGCTATGCAGTAGCAGCTATTTTAAAATGCTCGCGTAACACTGAAATAGTGGAAGTTAGCTATCGATCGGCCAACAGGATCAAACGGTATGGCGATAGGTATTTGACCTGGCTTGGGCGATCGCTCCGCTTTCTTCATGTTCATAGGACATCATGATTGCATGAGAAGTAAATATCAGAAAACAACAGAATGGTTGCGCCGTCTGATGACAAGGGGTGCAGTGTGGACGACATAGCCTATCTGAATCTGTTGTCATGAGCAAACAGGTAAAAGAAGGCCAATCCAAGAAGAAGGTGCCTACCCCTGATCCCAGATCGGATCGCTCATGAAGGATAGGGGACTGCTTGTAGCTGAGCAGTTGAGACGGCGACCTGAACTAGATTCGTACTTCAAGAACTTGATCTTCCGAACTCCTTCGATTTCATCTGTTGGAAGATTTTGACGTTTTTAACTTGCATGCATTTTCCATCAAACTCAAAGCGAGCCCAGGTGCCCATTCGTTCTCGAGAGTGCAGTTCACCTACGCCAAGAAAACAAGAGAGCCTTGGCGATATCCGAAGCGGTTAACCCATTGTCGCGAGGAATCAGAGTCTCGAAACTAGTCAGAAATTTCGAATTTCACAAATCGTTTCTTACCGGGCAAGAGTCTGACAACAATGCGAGTCAAAACACTTTGTAACAAATCAAATCAATTTTTCTTACCGGAATTTTTGGCGGCAGATCGGTTTTGTGGTCCCGTCATTGATGATTTAGTCGTCTTTCCCCTCTTCTTCTTCCTAGCTTTCTCCTATTCCATCGTAGAATCCGTTTTTTGTTAGCTTGTAGCGCTTCGTCCCATCCATGATCAGTCGTCTCCTATCGTAATCTCTTGCTGGGTGCAGGACAACAGGATCTTCCTTTTCGCCGTATCTTCGGATTGCACCAAGTTGAAAACCGGAGGTTTCTCATCGTTTGTCAGGAGTCATCTAGAGACGAGCCAATAGGAGCGCGGGAGGTTTCGCCGATAGCGGGAGTATTGTAGACCCTATTGATCGATCCCGTTTTCTAGTGAGTTGCCGCTGGCGAATATGCAATGCGATCACTTGGTGCGGGCTGAGCTTGTAGGTCATATGCGGTCAACGTAGAGCTCGAGTTGAACGTCAAATTTGCCCCTTTTGTTGGTTGGGTAGGTCACGGGGGTTCCTTAGTTTATGGATGGTGAGATCCCGAACGACATGTGTAAGCTTACCTTCGGTCTGACTCATTATCCCAGCTTTCCGACGTAGGNGGAACGGTCATATTTCAGCTCCTCGTTCCTGTAATCTGTTTAGGCGTAGGAGTGCACGAAATCCTTGGTAAGCGAGAGTCTCCCAGCACGCATATGATCTAACATCTAACATTCTATCTCTGAGACTTTGATTACCTAAACTAATTTTGATAATGCGAGGCTTACGACCAGGTGTGGCAAGTTTCGTTTTAGGATGCCTATGATGAGTTAATTGTTCTGCGTTGAACTCACATAGAAGCTATTCGTCACCTGAAAGAACGATAACTTCCTTGATCGCCTCTCTACCGAAAGCACGGGAATAGAAGTGATCGATGGAAATCGTCCTATTGATTCATCAACGCCTACCCCACTCTCCTACCCACCCCTAAGACCAGAACAAACAGTGCAATTTCTTCACAAGTAGAAATCCACCGGAAACAAATTTCCTACATTCTTTCTATCTTGGCAAGGCGTCTTTTACATTCTTTCATGACAAGCTAGTACGTAAGGGACATACGAAATCTATTTCTGAGAAAGAGCGAGCGAAAACGAAAAAGAAGTAATAGCATTCCAAAAAAGAAAAAAAAGAAAAAAGCGCCGATGTGCGTTTTCTCGCTTTTTATTACTTCGTTTTAATGCCAGGTTCTACTGGTGACTCGCGACAAGTATGGCTTCTTGTAACAGCCGTCTTTTCATAGGACAGGTTTCAGAACTTGCCGTTGGTTTGTTCGAAGCATCTAGTCTGTGGAGCATACGCTTAGAAGAGATAGCATTTTTGGCGCTCGATGACCACAACGATCTTCATTAAGCGGTCATCGACGCGTTCGACGCTTACTATCGGATCACAGGAACCGTTCGAGACTATTATCCCAACGCCGTTGGTGGTTTTGGGTCACCACAAAGAACGGCTTCGAAGCCGTGGTCATTGTACATGGACTCCCAGCATAACCGCCCCGTCTCCTGCACTGCAAGAAATCAATTCATCGACGCTTTAGAGCTTCGGCTAACTCGTGCGAGCGACCCGTTAACGTGGCAACATCTAGCGTCGCAACGCGAGTCTTCTGTACGTTGCGGGGCTTTTGAACTAACCTAGTTGCTCCGCGATGCCGTCCTTGCACCGGAGGCCCACGCGAACTTCTCACACTCACCGAGTCTCGCAAGGGCGCGTCGGCTCTCGCGGACGCCATAGCATTAAACCGAGATTCATAAAGCGACATTAACATTTTTGATGTGACGTGGGTGTTCGTAGGCCGACCGTCACGGAGGCCTGTCGCCTGCATTCGAGTACTCGCGATCAGCTCAGTCCACGGAGTAAGCAGTTCCCAGTGGCACCCCTTGGAGGAGCGTACATCATCACCACGCTAGTGAAAATACAACAATGAGAATTTGTTGAGGCTTGCTAAAATTGATGATCCGTTTGCAGTGTGCCCAAGCCAAAAGGAGGCAAATTCGACGTTCAAGTTGAGCTCTACGTTGACCGCATATGACCTACGAACTCAGCTCGCACCAATTGATCGCATTACATATTCGCCAGCGGCAACTCACTGGAAACGGGATCGATCAATAGGGTCTACAGTACTTACGCTATCGGCAAAACCTCCCGCGCTCCTCTTGGCTCGTTTTTAGATGAACGCGAGGGTGGGGTGGGGGGTGGAGGGGGTTTGTCCTGTTCAATGCGCGCTCAATTGTCAATAAACT